ATATATATGGCAGTGAAGCATGAAAGATGAAGGCTCTGAGTCACAAAAGGATGACTTTGGTTCAAATCCAATTAACAAAGTCATCCCAGCAAGTTGCTTAACCTCTTTAAACCCCCAAGTGCCTCATCTGTAGAGGGGGAACAAAAATAGTTTCCATCTCATAGGAATCTGGGGATGATGAAATTAATGAATGTTTGGAAAGTTCATAGCACTGTGCCTGGTACAGAGTACATATTCCTAATAATGTTGAATATCAGTTGTATGGTTGTGAAAATTCTTATTATGTGTTGAAACCATAGTCTTCACAGAGCTGAAGAGAGATAGGATCATCAGGCCTGTTATTTAAAGGTGAACAAAACAGGCACCAAAGAGTTAAAAGACTCCTTCAAGGTCACACTGGACCTTCCAGGTGGGAGTGCAGGTCTATCCAATGTTACTGGAAAGGATTATGTAGCCCAGACTCAGACCCACTCCCACACTGGTGTCTGTCCTCAGCAAGGCAGCTACACAGAGGCAGGAATGGAGGCCATCTTTCTTCACTAATCATGGTAGCCTGGCCAAGATCTGAGCTGAGGAATCTTCTGCTAATGGCCCATTTACTGCCCGGAACTTGCTTAGGAAAGCTGTGACTTCAGATCCCAGAGTTAAGAACCTGGTACTTTTTTCCTAATATAGCAGAGATAATTTTTGCTCTGCAACTCGGGGTCTAAAAAACATCACACTAATTTATTTCTCTAAACCCAGTGAAAATCTGACTATATCCTCACTCACAAAGGTGGTAGGGATTTACTCATTCTTCCTCTCCCCCAGCTCACACTGTAACTTAAGATGGGAAAGGGGTCTCCCGTTTATCAATCCTGGTTGCCACTGAGATGCTCAGTGCCCAAGAACTGGAGATCCATTTGAAAGTCAAAGACTCATCCCTCAGAGGCCAAACCCCAAAATCCTTTGCTGTGCCTAAGACACACCTCTTAGAACTTATTACCCCCGCCCGTGTCCACTTGCCCCAGGTCAGATGTCTGGCGCCCTCTTGAGGCAGGGACAGTATGGGCTTCCTAATTACAGATGTCACTCCTTTCCTTCTGGGGTGCTTGTCTCCATCCCCCATTTCCAAGCCTCAGAGCACTTCTCCACCCTTTGAGGGTTCAGCTCTTTTCAAAATAAAGCTCCCTAACTCTGTGTAAGAGGCAAGGGGAGCCCCAGATATTCAAGTCTCAAAATCCTGCTTGCCCTGAGGAAGGGCAAAAGGAAAAGTATTTCTCCTTTCTGAATCTTCTCCAGCCGCTGAAGGAAACAGAAAGGCAAATGTCCAGAAACCAGCCTGCCACGTTTCTTTTTTCTTTTTTTGGAGTTAGACTCTTCAAAAAGTATTAAACTCAGGCTGAAAATGGAAACACTGTATTCTTTCATCAAGACTGCATGTTAGGGCTGGCTGATGGACCAACACTTTGCAAAGATCCTTTGATTCTCTGTGCCTTTGCAAGTAACTGCCTGAATTCTTGGTGGTAGAATCAGCTGCTCTTCGGAAAACAAACCATTATAGAATTCCAACTGGCAAAGCTTGCCATCCATCAGCTCCCAGGATTGCCGCTGGTGAAACAAAGGATGTATTTCCTTCATATGTCCACTAACTTCCTGATAATTTAAGTTTGAATTTTATCTCATTCATCAAGTTTTCCAATGCCTATGTCCCCGGTATTTAAATTCTTCAAATAAAATTTTTCTTCCCTAAATTTTTATCCATTCTTAGTCTGGACCCCAAACATACAAGGTATAAGGCGTAAAGAAATCCTGTGCCAGGACTAGCCCAGGCCATGAGGACAAAGTGAGAAGTAAACACATAAAGGCCTTCATGGGTCTTAGGCTTATGCAGTCAGGCCCTGTCCTAAATATTTTACATACCTTGACTCATTTCATCTTCCTAACAACCTTATTATCCTCACTTCCTAGGTGAGAAAACTGAGACACAGAGAGGTTAAGAAACTTGTCTAAGGCTACACAGCTAACAGGTGGCCAAGGCAAGATTTTGTGCTCTTAACACAGGGCTATGACTATAAATTGTGGTTAAATGTTAACAAGGAAATAAAGAGGATAATAATAGGAAAGCTACATGGTGGGGTAAGGTGCGTGGAGGGCACTTTCATTGTGTTGATTAGGAAAGGTTAGGGAGGAGCAGTGTTTGAGCTAAAACCTGACGATGACAAGCTATACAAAGACTGGGGCCAGGAGGATGGGAGAGTATTCCTAGCAGAAGGAACAAGAAATGCAGAAAAAAGCCAAGCGAGGAAAGAGTCTCTTAAGGGCAGAAATGTGGCTTGGGGGCGGGGAAAGCCTTGGGGGGGGGGTGCAGGGAGAAGGACATGGGACAGGCGCGGAGAAGATGCTTTCAGGAGCCATGAGAAGCTGCTGACATGCTTAGTCACAGAGATTATGACACGATGTGAGTTGTTTCTGAAGTCACTGGCTGCTAGGTGACAAGGGCTGAGTGAGAACCTGGAATGGAGGGGGCTTGGAAGAGGGTTATGTAGCTGAGGATAGAAGGTAACGTGGACCCTGGTGGGGTCAGGTTGCAAGAGATAAGGCTAGATGGAGCAGGAGGTCCTGATGCTCAGGACAATCTGGCCACCTGAAGAAGTGTTGACTTATTCCTCAGAGCCAGAGAAGCCCTGAACAGGTGGAAGCAAAGAAGTCCTATGATCAAATCTGAGTTCTAGGAGAATGAGTCGAGCTGGTGTGGACAATGTCTTGGAGGGACAAGCTTGCAGTCCAGCCAGGAAGCTTCTGGAGACCTCTCAGTGAAAGGTGAGGGGGCTCAATGAGGCCGGGGCCCTGGTTATTCGTTCAGCAAAGTTGTAATGTCATCGGGCACTGTTGGACTAACTCAGACAAGAGGCTGCTCTCAAGGAACTTTCCAGAGCCATTTATAAGGACAGGCTTGATGATAACCTGAATGTAAGGAATGAGAGAAAGGAAGGAGATAAAAGACCCCTGTATCCCTGTTCTGGCATTTGGGAAGACTGTGCAGAGGGAAAACTGTGCAGAGGGAAACTGTGCAGGAAGATGGGGAATCTGGAAAGAGGATTTGCCAATGGGACAAGTTCAGTTCAGGACAAATTAACAATTCCATTGGCCAAGGTGGAAAATCAGCAGGTAGATGTAGAAATAATCCAATGACTTTTTGAAGGATGGGAACTAAATACCCCAAGAGAAAGGTCTGAACACTATTACCCCTTCACTAGCTGGTGCAGTCAAAACAGATCAGCACTGGAAATGCTCTTTCAATGAAATAGCACTCCCTCTGAGCACTCCCTCAACTCCATCATGAAAGAATGGGGCTTTGCATTAAAGCAACCTTCAGGGACTCCCAAGGTACAGAAACCTCCCATCTAAACATGGCTTCTCATGACTCAGACTCAGATAATTAAGTCAAGTTCCCCAGTCAAGAGTCTGTGATGACAACAGGTTGAAATAAGGTCATCCTTACCACAGGTGGTCATTCACCTTTTTCTCCAATACTAATTGTATACAGAAATTGCCTTCTGTTGACTGTGAGACATCCTGAACTGCCAGAAATTTTCACCAGAGATCTTTAGAGAAGAATACACCAACTGTGTCTAGAAAGAGTTAATTTTCAATCATTGGGAAGAAAGAATATGCAATGTTTCTTTTTTATTATGAATTTTTGAAGTCTTCACTCCTGCCAATGTCAGGAAAATAATTGTGTTAGATCTAATCCTTCAACTATGGTTAAAGGGGAAGCCATTTCTCCCTTGAAGGATGGGTGGATGGATGGATGGATGGATGAACGGATAGAGACATGTTGGGATTTCAAGCGATGAGTGAGTTTTAGAGAAAGATTTTACCCCTGAGACAAGCCGGCTTTCCCAACCCACAGTAAGCGGGTGCTCCTGTCTGCCTCTCCCTTTATTTTATCAAACCGTGTTTTGACAATTCATGGGAAAAAAAATGTGTCTAGGGCAAATTGAGCTGCTGAAGCGATAAACATTTAGACACATAATGTGAATTGAGTTATTGTTCTTCGTAGGGATATTTCTCTGAGTTTGTTTCTCATTTTTGGAAAGAGAACGTGTCAGCCTGTTTCCCTCCCCCAGGTCTCTTGAAATGGAAGTCTCCTTTCCCTGTAATTGTTGCGAATCCTTGACAATAGCTCCAAGACTAGGTTATCTCGCAGGAACTTCCATTTCCAAAGAGTTGAGGGAGGTAAAGACTCAAAACAATTGGACATGGAGGGTTAAGAGCTGCATCTTCAGCCCAGTTCAGCTCAGGTGGCCCCTCTCTGCAGCTCACAGGGTAGGAGAGGGACTCCCGCGGTGGCTTTGGTGGGTTTTGGCTGGGGGTGGGGGGTGGAAACCTCCGTTTCGAAATCCCTGCTCTTCTTCCTCTCCACGCCTGACCCCGCACAGCCTCTCGCGGTTAGCAGGCGCGTTCGGGACCTAACTTTGTCCTGACTGCGTGTGCGGCGGCGAGGGAACGCGAGGCTTGGCCGGCTCCGGGCGCCCCCGGCTCCCGCGGCGTGGAAGGGGCCGGGCCGCGCCGGGCGCGCGGGGAGCGGCCGCTCATTGTTGTCCGGGAGCGGGCGGCGCGCCGAGTCGCGCGCCGGGCCGCGCGGGACCCGCCGGAGCCCGCCTTCCGCACCGCCCCGCGGCCGCCCGGCCTCCCGCGGCCCGCCTGCCCTGCCGGCCGCGCCGGGGTCCGCGCGCAGGGCGGGGGAAGCGGAGCGGGGGGCGCCGGGGGCGTGGCGCGGGGCGGGGAGGCGGGCAGGGTGCCCCGCAGCATGCGGCGGGCCGGGCGCGGGTGGGGGGCGGGCCGGCGGCGGTGCCCCTGGCGCGCGGCCAGGCTAGGCGTGAGCGGCGCGAGCGGGCGATGGGCTGACTGCCGACCCGCGGCTGGGCGGCGGCGGGGCCGGGGCGGTGGAGGCGGGGGCGGCGGCGGCGGCGGCGGGGGCGAGGGCGCGCCGGGACCCGGCGGGGAGGCTGCGGGCGCCGTGGAGGAGGCGGAGGCGCCGGGCGCTGATGCTGCCTGCTAGGCCACGGGCCTGCGCACCCCAGGGCGAATGGGACACCGGTTTCGGTGGATCGGCCGCTGCAAACCTCAAGTTCCTGGGCTCCTAGCGAAGCGCAACAAATAAAAAGGTAATGTGTCTTTGTTTCCCAGCCGCGACTGCTGGGAGGAGGTTGATTATGCGCACTTGTGTGTCCATTTTTAAATGCTGGGCCGGTGAAAGGGACATGACTCTTCTTTACTGGAAGCGTAGAGTATTTAATGTCGTGGATGTGACATTTTCTCATTGCAAACCCCACGTGCGGCACCTACTACACTCCCTTCTGCTACCCGTCCCCTCCCCCCATACACTTTCTCTGGCATCTCAACCTCACACTGTCTGAATTTACCCAGGGAGAAAGGAAACGACATTGTAGAAAGCAGCCCTGGGTGGGATTTTTTTTTTTTTTTTTTAAAGAAAAGCCATTTTTATGAAAGTGATAGGAGAGTCCTGTCCTTTGCGTGCCTCAGGGTGGCAGGGAGCAGACAGGTGATCCTGCTAAAATACATTGCTCTTTTACACTCCAAATGGCTGCAGCAAGTTTGATGCATTGAGAAAGGGGGAGGAGGAGAACGGGAGGAAACCTTTAGTACGTGGTCATTTGAAAATGACCAAACGCGTTGCATCTGTGTTGCAGACAGATGCCCAAACGTTTGTGCCTATTGCCTTTAGAGAAGATGAATCAGTCCTGCACTTTGAAAGCTGTGTGCGCCGCCCCTGTGTAATCAGGAACCCGGTGCTTTTCTCCAATACCTTGGGAGCGAAGTAACCGTTGAGTAGATTCAAGCAAATTCTGCAAAATTTCCGAGGGATGGCCGTTCTAATAATAGCGCTGGCGGTGGTTTCCTAATAGACACTCTCATTCTGAATGATGCAGCCCTGCCCGGCTGCCTGCCTGCCGGAAGCTCAGCTTGCTGAGCTGGGCGATCCAATGCCGGCAAAGGACTCCCTGACCCCACAGTGAATGGATGAGACTCTTTCTCCCCTATGAATGGAACATCCCAGTAGAGGCTGCCTCCGCTGCTTTGGCGTCTTGCAGTTTGAATCCGCACAGCTTCGCGTGAAAGAAATTCTCAGAACACCTAAGACAGGCACATTGCTAAATCGGAGCTCTTCACTGCTGGCGGCCGGTTCAGTAGCGGTGGGGGGGGGGGGGGTGGGTTGCTACCGGTGTCTTTTTAGACAACTGGTCAGACTGACTTGATCTGCGTTTACCTGACTGGGTTTTGAGCAGCTGCTTAGACATCCCTCCTGGCTCTGCATCCCCTGAGTCTCATCCTTTTCCAAAAGCAGGAGTGCCAGGTGTGGGAAAGCACCAGCCAGAGAGCCGGGAGCAAACTTCTGACTTCATCCAGGGAAGCCACTCCCAGCCCTGGGGAATTGGACACAGAAATCTCTACCTTACACTTACTGGAACTTAGCTGTGTATGCCATCTTGAAAATATGGACCAAAGTGTGGGGGCTAGGGTGGAGGAGGGAGGACACATTTCACTGTTTTGTTTCAGGTCTTTTCATTGCTCCATGTTCATTCATCGCATTTGACCCCATTTCTCTGGAGTCTGACTTGGACAAGGCCAGAGAGCCAAACCCTTAGATCAGCAGAAACTGGATTTTGATTCTCAAAGTGTCATTTAGCTCCTGCAACCGAGAGTATCAGGGGCTGAGTCCCTTCTGTTGACTGAGGGAACCATTCTGCTGCAAATGAAATCTGGATTTATTTAAGGCACAACAGGAATGAGGGTCATGCAGCAAATAGATTGGAATCCATTTAGTGCTGAGAGGTTAAATAGCCACAGTTAATGTAATTGGAAGCAATATTTGGACTTGCTTTGAAATCGATACTATATTATCCTGCCAATGAATAGAATTCATTAGTTGCCTCCTGATAACTTGGAATGAAGTTTTTCACTTGATGTGCAAAGTTGTGTGGGTAGAAGTAACCTCTTAGGAAAAAAAAAATAGATTAAAGTCTTCTTGTATTAAAGGGAGGCACTGTTAGTAGAAATGAAGATCAGAGAATCCCTCCACCCTCTTTTGTTCTGACCAAGCGTGATCTGCTGCTGCTGTTGCTGTATTCTCTTTGGCACTTGTCTTGAACTAATTTTATTAATAAGACTTGTTATTTATGGCATAGGGCCTCTTGGTGATTTGTAGATGCTGTTGCCTGAGAGCCTGGCAGGTGGCTAGTGCCATTAGCATTATCTCGTCGTTGGGGAAACTGAGACCCCTTGAGGTTCGGTGAGTCACCGATTTCATAATCCCTGAGAAGAGCATCCCAGATGTGTAGAGTGCTCAGTTTTATTGGAACAGCAAAGTCAGAGGCTGAGGTCAGAGAACAAGCCAAGAACAATGAGTCCTTGCTTGGGTTCTGGAACTTGGAAGAAGGCTCTGTAGATTAGTCGATATGCCAGTGTTTGTGCAGGAAGGGGCTGTAGAATCAACTTTGATGAGTTGAGGAAAAAGTGTGATGGGTTTGTGATGGGAAAGGTAGCGAAGAGATGAAAGTCCAAAAATCTTATGTGAGAAGACCTGCTGGGCACCTGTGTACTTCAGTAAGTGTGGATGGAGTGAGACCTCCTCCGCAGATCTCTACTAACTTTACTGCATACGTGTACCACTTGTGTTCACATCATTGCTCTGTGTGTGTGTGTGTGTGTGTGTGTGTGTAAGACACAGTTCTACTCACACGCCATATGCTTCTCTGTTACAAGGGTTGCGTTTAGCCTGACATACTGAATGAACAAGTGATTTCAAATCTAAAGCTTTGTTCTTTGATAAATACTTCTCTTTTAAAAAAGAAGGAACAGTGCAGCTTCTAGAGAATTTCTAGTTTAATATGTCAAAACAAGAAGTAGACATGCTCACGGTTAAAGAACTCTTAAAGTTATTTTAATCCACTCTCCCCACAGTATCAGAATGGATAAGTCCGGATCCAGTGCTGACCTCCATTCACATCTTTTATTTTCTAGATGCCGCCTGACGTATCAATAAAATGTGTGGCAGAAGTTCTCTGTTTAGGTTTACTCATAGTGAAAATCCCAGGACCTCCATTAGAAATGATTTCTGAGACCTCATAAGAGCATAAATCTAGGGATAAAGATCTTCCCTTGGTCATTTGATCTAAATTCCCCAAAACTCTAGTCTCCTTGAGCCAAGGTCCCTCAGGCCCACATCCCCTCCTTCCCTCCACAGGACACGGGGCGGTCTCTTTACTCCACCTTCCCGCTTCTGCTTCTTTGCTGTCCATTTCTCTCTGAAATGTGATGAAAGCAACAAAAGGCAATACTGGAGTTGAAGTGAGAAAAGGAGTAAGAGGGACCATTCCATCAGTTGCATGGGATACACAGATACTTGAACTTGCCCTACAGTGAGCAAAAGCAGGGCTGTAAAGCATCTGGACAAAGTGGCTACTGTTGGGGAGTGGTGGGATCTCAGTCTTTTACCTTGTGTTCATTCGAGCCCTAATTAGACTCTGGTACTTCCATAACATTTCCCTTCGTTGTTTTTCCCAAGATGTCTAATCTGAAAAGCTGGTACAGTAACTCTTGGAGCTCTGGGCTTCAGAGTCCCCACTGCACACACAGGCCTGCTGGTTTCACTACCGTGTCCTGCAAGAAGTTTCTGAATCAGCATAAATCCAGCTTATCCATAGTTCTCTCCACAGCAGTTTCCTCTGGTTCCCCAAATCCATCAGCTCCCACCTTTTCCTGTGTCCCAAGGGATCAGCATGTCTCTCTCTTTTAAGGAATAATTTAGACACACCCTTACATTTATGGCCGTCGGTTCCACTCCTAGAAGCATCATCTTAAAAATAATCAGTCGTTATGCCTCTCTTCCTCTCACAGAAGATGATCAGAGCCATTGCTCCTATTTAGTGAATCGCATTAATCCTTATTTGGGGCCTAGTGAGTGTGTACGTGAGTGTGTGTGTGTGTGTGTGTGTGTGTGTGTATTCAGTTCTTACCCGTAGCAGTGGAAGTTGGGTAATTACTGACAAGAATAAAGACCATAATTATTGGATGGAATATGAAGAATATAAGGAATCTGGTTCAGCTTAGTGGCCTTATTACTACCAAGTAAGAATCAAGGAAAATAACCAAATAAAAATCAAGGCTGGTGGCCTCAGTCAGAACACAGGCATAACTAACTCTAATTCACATGTGGAACATCTAGATCTAGGTTATTAAGCTAGATCTCTATTATCTGTGGTGGTTTCTGGTTTTTTTGTTTTGTTTTGTTTTAAACTTGGAGCCCTGGCTATTCCATGATGTAGCACAAGAAGAAATTAGTTGTCCATGGTTGAGAGTATCTGTACATGCACACCCTCTCCCCTAAACTCTGACTATGTCCACCTGGGTCTTCTGGTCTCCCTTTTATTAGCAATTACTTACCAGCGCATGGTTACTGCATACTTCCTGTTCACTTAACGTTCACTGCATTGAACTCCCTGATCGTGAGGGGCACGTGGTAGATCCTACTGGAATAAGTCAGTCACTGAGTGACTTTATCATACCTTGCTCCCACATGGATATAATTAGGCATCTTTAGAACACCCCGTGGCCCAAACTAAAATGTACCCTGTGAGGTCATCTTGTGGGTACCTTGCGTTAGCCTATATTGTGGTGTGGCCTTGCCAACCTTAGGTTCAGAAGTCTTGGTACAGATCAAAAACTCTAAACCTTTTAACAATAATTTTCTCTTCAAATCAGCCAAAAGCTAACCCCCCACCCCACCCTTAAGGCGATATAGCTCTACAGTTTCCACGAAGACTAGCCTGTTCTTCTCATGATTCAGTCTTCTTTGCAAGGCTTTTCCCTTTCTTTGTCCTTGCTGTACGAAGAATGCATGAAAAAAAAAGGCGTGTAATGGGGAATTAGATTGATAATGCATGACAGTGAATGGAAATGATGATCAGAGTGTTGTCAGGCTGTGCCCCATTCATAACCATAAAATGCACAATTACACTCTCACCACACGCCTGTGAAAAAGTATGTAGATATGACAAACCCAAACTAGGAAACTGAATAGTGTGGATCCGTCTGGAGCTATGCAGTGTACCTATACACTGAGCTGGGGAATACAGTGCTGGCT